TGTTGATGTTTAATATGTGCCCAGATGTTTGCTCATGAGTTTGAATAATCACACTCTGTCATTCTTAATTTAAATAAATATCAATTCATTTGTTGTAATATTGAGTGTCTCGGTTCACACATGATATACACATGTTATCTTTAGTGGGCGTGGCTACGCCCATTTTCCAAAAATTTATAATATTCTTACTTTTGCCTAAAAATCATTGTAAATATCAATTTTGAGCGAATAAGCTTCAGTAGTTACTAAAATGGCGCAGTTCCGAATTAATGAAAACTACCGCTATATGGAAGGTAGGCGTGGTTATTGACCGATTTTGCCCTTTTTCAATAGCATCAGCCCACCGCTTAATAGCCTGTATGCAGCTCTCAAGAAAACGGTCAAGAAATATTGCAATTATTTAGTGTGTGTGTCCAAGGAATTTTGACGTTTTTAATACTTCACAGCCTGTTGCCTCACTCTTTCCTCAAGAAATATTGGAACGGGCATATATTTCTGTTGCAAACCTGGGTTGCCTTGTGCTCTTTTTTCACAAAAAACTTTAGAAAACCGTAGTAGAAAGCGTAGTAAATTTCTTAAGAACTGCGTACTGCCTTAAGCAAATTTTACTCAAGAAAATTTCTTGGCCATTTCTTGTACGTCATTTTATATGGAGTTTTTGCTTTTCTTGAGAGCTGCATACAGGCCGTAAAGGAAGTACACGTACCAAGTTTCGCTAAGATATCTTAGTTTCTACTCGATGTATCATGTGCATAGACGGATGGGCGTACGGACAGACAGACAGTCACCGCTCAATAGATTTTTTTTTTCATTCTGAGCATTTATGTATACAAAAAAAAAAAGAATAGCGTAAGGACGAGATAGAGCTGTTAGTTTCTGCTAGTTTTTTGGGTTAAGAAACGCTTTCCAGCAGAAACTAGTGATAATTATCTGTTAAGAAACAAAGCTAATGCTTGCCGTAAAATTTTTCACTAGCCCTGGCGGATAAACACATTTTTTTCACCTCATAACTCTCAAAAATTTACTATCCAGAGGGTCAATTCCCGTTCTGCGTTATCGTGAAGTGATAAAAATAACACCTTTACACCGCATTTATTTAGGTGTTAATTTTATACTTTTCACTTCACTTCACGATAACGCAGAACGGGAATTGACCCTCAGAGTACTTTTCTATCAATTGGCACAGGC